CTCATCCATCATCTAAACCTAACCCTGCCCCTTCAGTACCCCTTCTTCCATTTCAATTGTCTATACCCCTTTGGGCCACTTATAATTATATGGAGGGATGTATTGCATTACATTGGGGCTGTAGTTTTAGGGTTAGAGTTCAAGTTAGGGGTGAGGGGGCGGCCTTGTGGAACTCTTTCCAAAGTGGGTATATTATTAACGAATGTAAGAAGTTTTGGCCACCATTTGCCACCCCAGAGGTTTCGGCTACACACATGTTTTATATACATCGTATATTACATGTACATTGTATTTAAATTTATTATCTAATAACCCATGCGTATTTACACTTACATGTATTTACATTTATTTGTGTTCCAAGCTTAGTGTATTGTTTAATAACTCAAATGTTGCAAATGTGTATTTATATTTATTTACTAAATAACAATTCAAATACAGCATATCTATTTTTATTTAAAATAACTGATACAATTACCAAATGTAGCATGCATATAAAATTTAAACATCGATGTATTCAGCAATTATACGTACATAACCAATAACAATATAAACACCATACTTGCAATGTACAGCTATTAGTAAATAAATAAATAAATAAGTAAATAAATAAATATAATTAATATAATTAATTGAATTAAGCTGTACTTACAATCTACAAGTTAAAAAAAAAAATTAAAAATACACCATTCTTGCAATATACAAGTTATTCTTAAATAAATATAATCGATAAGACATGAAAAGTATGTGGCCGAATCAACCTGGTTTGCAAGGTGTTTGCACCGTAATAAAGTATTTATATGAATAAATTTTATAAATAAACATTTTGTGATAACACGGCTTTCACCATTTATACACTCCCATAATATTTTATTTTAAGTCTGAGTCAGTGGTCAATAACTACTTAGTAAATTATGTTATAATAATGTGACAAATCCATCATGTTTCTATTTTTCTCTGTCAAATTAAAATTAGAATAAACTTGAACTTATATCTCTAAACCTTGTACTGACTACCCACATGGCAATGGGCGAGGCAAAATGCGTATGGATTTTGTCTGTTATGAACTCAGATGGCCTGTCTAGAGTTGGCCTGTCTAGTACCATAACTGGACTATATAATGGACAGTGTATATGTATATACTGTGTGAATTTTAACTTTTATGTAGCCTACTTCATGATCAGAGATTTTGACAAGGTTTGGTGATTTTCTTTTCGCTTTAGATACAAATTTGTTCCGATATCCAAGCTTTCAAAAAATGTGAGTGTTTTGATAGAAAAATTCAAAAATGCTGCAACACCATTTTTGTCAGCTTTTGTTTGGATCTACATACATCTTCTTTCTTGTGGGCTGTGAAGCAACAATATTTATATGCATACAGGTAACTCGCATACTGTTGTTAATAACAAGGAGTGCTTGATAGCAAAAAAACAATTCCAACATTGAATGAAAACTATTTATAAAACATGTGTTATTCAAGTTATTCAAGAAAATTGTTTTTTTTGGGCCAAATCTCAACCACAAAGCACTATACATGTAATTACCCATACCTGTATAAGTCTCCATGATTCGCACTACTTCACATTGCTTTTGTTAAAACTTTGTATCAGCAAACAATTACTATTTTTAATTTTATAAAATTTCTACAAGATGTACATGATCAGGTAAAACCTAAAGCTCTAAACTTGATTTCATGCCGCATTTCAGATCGCTGTCACATTTCTGTTGACTTTAACAAATTCATGAATACAAAAATTAAATTAAGCTGATCTCTGTATTAATCCCTCAAGTGTTATCCACACTTACAACTAGTCCTGCTATTTTATTGTCGCAAAAACTGTTATAACACTCATGAAATTTCGCTATGGTCACTGTGACTGTCTACGACCCCACTGGATGTATCTGTGACTCCCTGGAACAACAGTGAAAGTCAGTGTCTCTCTAGAGCACCAATGAACATAAATGTAACTCCCTAGTACCACAGTGGATATCACTGTGACTACTTACAACACCAGTGAAAGTCAGTGTCTTGCTCGAGCACGAATGAACATAACTGTAACTCCCTAGTACCCCAGTAGATGTCACTGTGACTCCCTAGAACACCAGTGAAAGTCAGTGTCTCCCTAGAGCACTAATGAACATAACTGTAACTCCCTAGTACCCCAGTAGATGTCACTGTGACTCCCTAGAACACCAGTGAAAGTCAGTGTCTCCCTAGAGCACTAATGAACATAACTGTAACTCCCTAGTACCCCAGTGGATGTCACTGTGACTCCCTAGAACACCAGTGAAAGTCAGTGTCTCCCTAGAGCACTAATGAACATAACTGTAACTCCCTAGTACCCCCAGTGGATGTCACTGTGACCACCACTCCCATCCCAGTACTAGTACATCCCCAGGGCCCCATTAAAAATCACCATGACTCACAGATTCAAAATAAAATGTTCACTTCTACAAAGGTTGGCAGTCTTCCCAAGTTTGTGCACATTTGTCACTGGTGAAATTAAAGTCCACAAGTCTTAAAGAAAATATTTTACAATTTGCTTTGTAAAGCAAATAGTTCTCGCTTATTATTTCTAAGGATGCAATAAGTTATTATCATTAATATCTAAGAGGGCCTCTTAGAGATTAAACTTCCCTGTAATCACACACGCATTCTTACTGACAGATCTTCTAACAAAACTGTGTTTTTTTCAGGTAATGCTTTTAAAGGTCAACAACTTAGCGATAACTGCACAGCATGGCAACAGACTTACAGTCCCTGTACACACATGTGGTGACACCGACAGGGGAGAAACTTTTCAACTGCGTACAGTGTGGACGTAAATTCGTCAAGTATCATTACTTTGTTTGCCACGTAGAAACGCACGCCAAGGAGAAAACCCACCAGTGTAAAATATGTGACGAAAGGTTTGCACATAAGTATCTTCTAGAGCACCATCTGAGAGCTCATGCAGGAGATAAAGCGAAAAAGAGTCGGTGCTTGCTGTGTGCGAAGAGATTCACCGACAAGTGGTCATTAGAGAGACACTTAAGAACTCATACTGGTGAAAAACCATTCCAATGTAAAGAATGCGGGAAAAAGTTTTCATGCAACTCCTCACTCGTTTCTCATATCAGAATACATGGAGGAGAAAGACCTTACCGGTGTGATGAGTGCGGGACGTCGTTCGCGTTAAAGGGATACCTAGACAAACATTTGAAAACGCACTTAGACGTGAAACTCTTCATATGTGAATTATGTGGAAATAGATTCGTTCAGCAAGCGTACTTGCATACACATATGAAAGTCCACTCAGAAATGAAATATCAATGCGAACAGTGTGATAGGAAGTTTTCCCGAAAAGATACGTTGTTTCAACATATCAAATTGCATACCGGTGAAAGACAATTTAAATGCATACATTGTGACCGTGATTATGTACGGCAGAGGGATTTGGACTGGCATGTCAAAAGAAAACATGATAATTCAGCATCAGCCATTGAAACGACTACACTACCTCATTCACTGCCTGAAAATTAGGGCTGGTAACCTATTACGTATGGAAAAGATAATTGATTTTTGAAAAATTGCTAGTGAACATAATTGGAGGAAAGACTATAAATAAATAGATGAATGAAGCACTGCCATCAATTAAGTTGAAGCCACATGTATGCCTAAATGTCACTTGGACTGATTATTTTAAAGTGCACTGTCAGTTTCATTCTGTATTTCACAGACTAGTCCAATATTGATACTGACCAAAACCAACTTCGCAGTGCTAAGTCTCATGGGAAGTATGCAAATGACGATAATCGTTTACTCATTGTGCACTTTTTGGCTAATTTTATGATAATAAATAAGTTAAATTACTGAAAATATATAAACCAAAAATCTTTAATAAATCATGTTTGTTTAACATATTAAAAATCAGTAGAAATAAATAAATAAATAAATACAAATGTAGCTGAAATACAAATTCAATAGCGCCCTACATGGTAAAATTTTACCTGGAACACTGTCTAAAGTGCAGTATTGGTCTTATTTTTAAAAATTCATTTTTGTCTTGTTTTTTACAGTTTGTTTGACCTAATTAAAATTATCTTTATGAAAGCTGTGGGTCATGTTATGAGTGAAAACAAATGTAAAAATGGGACTTAACAAATGTCATAGCGTCTTAGTGGCGTCAAAACACTGCATGGGATTTGACAATCGAGAAACTATTTTTCGGGTATTACTACACTTATACATTTGATGATGGTCAAGTCTGATGAAGTAAAGGTATCTCAATTTCATATTTCTCTCTGATAGGAATTTCGACATTGAACTATAAAAGAGAAATTGAAGTTCGAAATCAAATCATTCGATTTCTGTAACAGACATTTCAAACTGCGTATTTCATGCATTACGTATATTGTTTTTTCCATATCATCGATGAATCGTACGTGCGTGACTTTGTGGTGGTCTAAAAATAGAGATTTGTTTCTGATTGCACACACTGATATTTTTGTCGACAAATCTGTCATCTCTTTCCTGTCTTATGTTACAACAACAGCATCAATTAAATCCAGCATAACGTTGCGATCCTATGAGGAAGAAGTGGTTAGGCGTAACTTTTGATATTAGATTAATTAAACCCAAACTGTGGCTACACAGGCGTTTTAAAGCCTGTCATCTACTCTGTGCATAACTGCATGAATAATTTCATGTGAAACTGTTCCAAACCATGAACAAATGTTTAGAAAATAAAAACCATTACAGAACTTGTACATGTAAGCGCACATAAATACAAAAATGTATTTATTTTATACTGGATTATTTAAATATTACTTTGTCTGTGATATATCCATGATGTGATGTGTTTACTTGCTGCTCCATAGTCATCTGTATCATGTCTATGTTAAGTCTCCTCAACAGGGGTTTTAATCAGCTTATTATAATAACTTCAGTAATTGATTGTATTAATACCGGTAATTAAACTGATGCTCCATACTTTGGAGGTATACCATGCTTGTGACTCTAAGAACATGTCTGCAAATGTTTATTCATGTATGAAAAAAAGAAAAAAATTAGAAACCCAGTCCCAAACATTGGATATTTCCTGTGTTAAATAATAATATGCATTATTTAAAAAATATGCATTATTTAAAAAATACCAGTATATATCTTTTCATCAATAGCATTTTTGAAAAGCAACTGATTTTTTTTGCATTAAAAATTCCTTTTCCATTGAAAATTGGCATCTTAATGTCTGATATTAGAAATAGTGTTCTTCATTTAAATCGGCAAAATTTTGTTAAATTAAAAGTTTGCTCTGAATAAGTGAATGAACACACGTAATAGTTTCTAGTCGACATTATTTCGCTGAATATTTTTCTAATTACCCCCTCTACGGCGATTTAACTTCTTTCATGTATTCATTGTTTTCTATGCCACTCTGAGAGTGGCAGTTTATAAAAATTGCAAAATTAAAGAAATATCAGTACAGTTATACTGCAGAAGGGGGTGGGGAATTGCATTATTCCTAAAATAGTAAATTTCAAGGAAAACCGTGGCGTGTAGACAAAATGAGCACAAAGGTCAGAGGGTTACCGATAGAGGGCAATATTGAATGCGTCTGTTTCAGTCAGCTGGCGTGTGAAAAGAGCAATATTTTCCCTGTAAAGTAAGCGATATCATCATCAGTGATTCTACTTCTATATGTATTGGTAAGTTGGTATATTCAGGTTTTTATGTTTCAGTTATAATGGCGATAGACCCACATGCCGCGTAAATATCACACGTTGTACATGTACTCTCTTTGTGGTAAAATGTAGGTGTCTGTCGTCTGTCACGATGATGCATCGGAGACGACCGAACTCGACTGCAGTCGGCCAGTGGGTTAGGTGTTAATTTAATATTTTCTAACAAATTATTTTATCTGTGGTCGATCTTTTAGTACAAATAGACCCGAGTCATATGGGTCCTACCAGAGGTACATTACTTGGGGTTTGCAACGCGCATAGTACTGTATGGTGACATCATGTCAAGATCGCATTCAAGTCTCATCTCGTAGATAGCGAGACTGATGCTACGACCTTTTGACATGACATAGGCGGTTTTGTAATAAAACATGTATTGTCACATTCATAGTGAAAAAATGTAATACATCGAAAATGTACAGAAAATATACTTATCGTAATCCGTCATATCGTGAGCAGCTATTTCGATCCACCTGGACATCCCAGTATCCTAGTTACCTCGGGCATGCGCATTCGCTTTTTTCTGAGTTGGAACGCTTAAGCGAGAGCAATATTGAAACTGGATCTTGGTATCATGTCACCATAGTTGCAAACCCCAAGTAATGTACCTCTGGTCCTACTAATTACTGCCCAGGACGAAATGGGACTGCCCGGGGTGAAAATACTCACTTATACACTGCTATAAAGATATATTAAAATAGCAAGGACCGTGAATGTCACTAACAACAAAAATAATAGTAGATAAGGCTTCGTACAATGGTACTTTAGCATCAATCGCATATAGTCATAACTATACAATTCAGTGTCAAAGCTATGGGCAAGTGCGAGTCAATCACCGCAACAATGATTGCCCCAAAGTTTTACTTATATGCATCGCTGATGTACCTGTGTACGGAGAATATTTTTGGAGTGAATTAAGAAGGAACATTCATTTGCCAGACATTATATTGTGTAACATTATATTGTGTAACATTGCGTCAAAAAGTTAGCAGTGTAAAAAATGTGTGTAATTTTGCCAAAACCTTGTGTAACTTTAGCTTTCCATAATTGACACTAGAACATGCATCCATTAATAGCGTTATACTTTAGTTTACCAATACACTTTACCAGAATAAGGCCAAAAAAAAAAATTGTTTTGTTGCCCGCAGCGACCGGCCAAAAAGTATGAAATATCGGGTCGCGTTTTTTTTTTTTTCTTTTAATAGGCCCAAATATTAAAAACTCACCATTTTAAGCAGTAAAAAAGTGTTTCCTCTAAAAATTAAGGATCCCGGACCGTTGTTTGATCCCCAGAGTCCCCGTAAGTGGCGACTTTGAACCTCCGGTTGATCTGTATTTCTTTGACATGTTCCGAATAATATGAAGTCCATATACCTTGACTATTTACGATACTCTTAGTTTTCATGAATTTAAAAAAACAAAAACAAATCCAACCGACCGACCCAATTTTAAAATTTTTTAAAGTTTTTTTTTTTTTTTTTGCCTAATGATACGGTCAAAATGTGTGAGTATGAATTCCACACGGCCATAAAAAAATACAGAAAAAGATGCAAACATTGAGGAAATTTTGCTGATTTTTAGCGAGTATAGTTTTGATCAGTCAAATTCCTGTTTTGAATAGTTTAATATCGGTCCTGGGCAATCCCATTGTGCCCTGGCCAGTCCCATTTTGTCTCGGGCATTCCCAGGCAGTAATTAGTAAGAGCGAGTCATATCACGGTAAAATAAACTACTGTACGTTACATGGGTGGCAAGTGTTGTAGATTTCAGTGACGCAGCAGCGCTGTAACAATTCCTGACAAACTGAAATATTTATCGTTTTGTTTTCCATAGCAGAGCCAGATGGACGCTGATGTGATGTCTGAGTTTTTTTTAGCTCCGCTGTCATCGAAGATGACCGAGTGGAGCTCATGGGTTGACTACAATGTACGTCTGTCAACTTTCTCATTCAAACATCTTCTACGAAACCGTCAGCTGGATTGCCTTCTTATTTCATACCTGGGATGGGCCTCTGTCAGATTTGTGCATTTCATGACATCACATGTGAAAATCTATTTTTTGGGGAATATTTTTGTCAATTATGGTTAAAAATGATTTTTTTACACAACCACTTTTCAGATTACTTTTAAATTTAGAATGAATGTTGTTGACATGGATTACACTTAGACTTATTATTGCACCATATGCAAGCGTCTATTTTTAGTGCATTTTTTTTTGCTCATTTTTGTGCATTTTCGACTTCTCCAAAACCGACTGCCACATTGCTTTGAAATTCATAATAATCTCTCAGTCTGTTCATTTGATGAAGATATCTCCATTTTTGTGGAAGTTATGATTTCTTTTGTTATTATTTTTGGAAACTTGGCTTTCTCAGTACACATTGTCTTGGAAAATGAACTTGATGGGCCAATGTTTTCCAGAAATGCTCAGGTTCAGCTCAAGGTTATTCAAAGTTTATATGTTTGCTGCTTTTATATGGGCGATACTGATCAGTGAGGGTGGGAGGGACTAAAACACCTCCCCAATCTCCAGGGTCACCTCCAGGCGCCATGTCATGGTCTCGCATGTTGATTGCATGTGTACTGGGGGTCAGGAGGTCACTCCTCCAGACAAGATCTTTCAAGGAAAGGACAAGGTCATCTCAAGATCATATGTCGTTTTGTCATTCTCAATTCAGTCACATGTACAGTAAGCAAATGATGCAAAAATATATTCTGGTAATAGTGACAACAACTTATGTTTCAGCTTCAATTTCCCTAATCCACATCATCAATTATACATATCCATGCATTACATATTGTACACAAACCTTTTTTCCTCTTATGGGGGTATGTCCTTCCAGTAATCATTGCCGCAATTACTACGGTAAACTGTCATAGATTCCACTTCTCCTGTCCACTTAGTAACATAGTAACAGCCACTGCCCCCTTGGATCGCAAGGTCGCTTGTTTATTTAAACATGCGTCACTAAAATCTACAACATAGCAGTCATGTGATTCATTGAAATCAACAACATAAGAGTGAAGCAGTATAAATGAAATGACACTACCGGTATATAAAAAAGAAAGAATTTCCAATGTACCCCCACCTCTAATCCTAACTCTAATCCACCCCCTACCCTCTCTTGCCCCCCCCCAAATTAATTGTATAAGCATCTCTTGAGAAGACATATAGTTATCTATAGGGGCATATGCAACTGAATTGGGGGGGGGCTTGCTTGGAGTTAGAGTTTGGGTTATAGGGGTGGAAGTACATTGAAAAGTCTTTCCTATAAAAACACGCAAAATAAACATGAAAGAAGGTGAAGCTCTCCACCACTTCACACCATGGCGGATACATCTGGTGGAGTTTGACTGTTATGATCTGGCCGACTATAGATGGAATATAATATTTCAAAAATGGCCAAAATCTTTCAAAAATTTACAGCTGAACTGATCAAAATTAACCATGGAGAGGTACTGTGCCAATATGTGCACGTCTCCCCTTCTCTAATAAATGTTTAAATATGTACTTTGAACTTTATTGTCCTGTATCAACCATATCTTGATGACATTTACAGAGTGTGGTCACAAACATAATTATATATTTTATTTGGAGAGTATACAGTACACACTTGGTAAAGTCCAGTTAGCTGTGGGTCCATAGCTCTCTTGTGTCAGTCTTGGCTTTGGTGAGAGTTTAACAAACATACATGTATTATCGATTGGAGATAACTTTGATAGTGTGATGAAAGAAAATATTCTGCTGAAAATAACAAATTTAATGACACGAAATATATCAGAAATGAAGAATAGCTATGGACACACAACTAAAGTCCAGTAAGATGCAAAAAATACAGTAACCATGGCAGTAACAAACTAAAATCAAAGAAAGCTTAGAAAGAACTCCCGTGTGCTGAGAGTTTTGAAGACACATTAAAAATTAATTCAAAATTACTAGTACATGAGATATTGGTGGAAAAGCTGAAAACTAATTATGTAAATCAGGTAACTAATATGAACAGAACAGAACAGAACAAAAAAATTATGAATTATTATGCTAATTAGAGAATTAATATGAACAAATTTTAACCCAAAATTAATCAGGCCTGTCTATTGTCCTAGAGCATTTATGTACCAAATTTTATTCAAATGTGATGATCAGTA